GTCCTTTGTAGGGACATGGATGAACCTGGAAACCATCATTCTCAGCAAACTGACAGAAGAGCAGAAGATCAAACACCGCATGTTCTCACTCATAGGCGGGTATTGAACAATGAGAACACATGGACACAGGGAGGGGAGCACTACAAACTGGGGTAAGTTGGGGCGAAATAGGGGAGGGATGGTGAGGGGTGGGGAGTAGGGGAGAGAGAGCAGGGGGAGAGATGCCAGATGTAGGTGATGGGGAAGAAGGCAGCAAATCACACTGCCACGTGTGTACGTATGCAACAATCTTGCATGTTCTTCACATGAACCCCAAAACCTAAAATGCAATAAAATAAATAAATGGGGAAAAAAAAACAAGTGAGGCATATCTTGGAGACATTGCTGGTTCAGTCCAGACCACCACAGTAAAGCAAATAAAGCAAGCAACACAAATTTTTTGGTGTTCCAATGCATATAAGTTATGTTTGCCCTATACTATAGTTTATTAAATGTGCAATAGAACTATGTCTAAAACAACAATGAACATACATTAATTTAAAAATACTTTATTGCTAAAAAAAATGCTAAGTAACATCGGAGCCCTCAACAAGTTATAATCTTTTGGCTTGTGGTGGGTCTTGCCTTGATTGAGATGGCTGTTTACTAATTAAGATGGTGGAAGATTTCTCTGAGCATGAGATATTGTTTGATAGCATTTGCCCACAGTAGAACTTCTTTCAGAATTGGAGTCAATCCTCTTAAATCCTGCCACTGCTTTATCAACTAAATGTATGTAGTAGTCTAAATTCTTGGTGGTCATTTCAACAATATTTACAACATCTTCATGACTAATTTCCATTTCAAGAAACAACTTTCTTTGCTTATCCATAAGAAGCAACTCCTCATCCATTCAAGTTTTATCATGAGATTGCAGAGATTCAATCACATCTTTAAGATCCACATTTAATTCTAGCTGTCTTGCTATTTCTACCACATCTGGAGTTACTTTCTGCACTGAAGTCTTAAACCCCTGAAAGTCATCCATGAGAGTTGGAATCAGTTTTTTCTAAATTCCTTTTAATGTTAATATTTTTACCCCCTTCCATGAATCACAAGTATTCTTACTGGCATATAGAATGGTGAATCCTTTGCAGAAGGCTTTCAATTTACGTTGCCCAGATCCATCAGAAGAATCACTATCTATTGCAACTGTAGCCTTACTACATGTCTTGTCTTGTCTTTTTTGTTTTTTTTTTTTTTTTTTTTTTGAGACAGGGTTCCTCTGTTGCCCAGGTTGGAGTGCAGTGGCATGATCTTGGCTCACTGCAATCTCTGCTTCACAGGTTCAGGCAATTCTCATGCCTTAGCCTCCCAAGTAGTTGGAATTACAGGCATGTGCCACCACACCCAACTAATTCTTGTATTTTTAGTAGAGATAGGGTTTCACCATGTTGCAAGGCTAGTCTCGAACTCCTGATCTCAAGTGATTTTCCTGCCTTGGCCTCCCAAAGTGCTGGGATTACAGGTGTGAGCCACCCCGTCCGGCCATTAAATGTATTTCTTGAACCATAAAACTTAAAAGTCACAATTACTCATCAATTCATAGGCTGCAGAATGGTTGCTATGCTAACAGACATCAAAACAGCACTTAAATCTTAGATTTCTCCATAAGACCTATTAGGAGACCAGGCATATTGTTGGTGTGCCATAATATTTTTAAAGAGGTCTCAATGGTGAGCTTAAAATTTTCAGTAAACCATGCTATAAACAGATGTGCTGTCATCCAGGCTTTGTTATTCAGTTAACAGAGCACAGACAGAATAGATGGAACATCATTCCTCATGGCTTTAAAATTTTCAGAATGATAACTGAGCGTTGGCTTCCACTTAAAGTCACCAGCTACATTAGCCACTAAGAAGGGAGTCTGTCTTTGAAGCTTTTAAACTAGGTGTTTAGTGCAGACACTTTCATCACTTACCTTAGCTAGATCTTCTGGATAACATGCTGCAGCTTCTATGTCAGCACTTCATGCTTCACTTTGCACTTTTATTTTGCACAGATGGCTTCTTTCCTTAACCCTTATGAACCAACCTCTGTTAGCTTCTAACTTTTTTCTGAAGCTTCTTCACCTCTCTCATCCTTTATAGAATTGAAGAGAGTAAGGACCTTGCTCTGGATTAGGCTTTGGCTTAAGGAAATATTGTAGCTGGTTTGATCTTCTATCCATATCAACAATGAGGCTGTTTTATTTTCTTATTCTTTATTTTTTATTTTTTTTTTATTTTACAAAAGTGTGGAATGCTTCACTAATTTGCATGTCATTGCTACCCAGGACCGTGATAATCTTCTCTGTACCATTCCAATTTTAGGATATGGGCTGCTGAAGCAGGCACACTTTCATATTATTCTTTCATTCACTAAAGTAGGTGTTTTAATTTCTTTCAACAACTTTTTCTTTGCATTTACAACTTGACTAACTGTTTGGCAAAGAGGCCAAGCCTTCAGCCTGTCTTGGCTTTTGATATGCCTTCCTCACTAAACTTAATACTTTCTAGCTTTTTATTTAGAGTTAGATACGTTTGGCTCTTCCTTTCCCTTGAACTATTGGAGGCAATTGTAAGGTTTTAATTGAATAATTTCAAAATTATTGAGTCTTAAGAAATAGGGAGGCCCATGGAGAGGGAAAGAGACGTGGGAACTGTCAGTGGAGCAGTTGCAACACACACATTTATCAATTAAGTTTTTCATCTTATTTTTTATCATTCTTTTTATCCATCCATCCATCCATCCATCCATCCATAAGTTATTGGGGTAGAGGTGGTATTTGGTTACATGAGTAAGTTCTTCAGTGGTGATTTGTGAGATTTGGGTGCACGCATCACCCAAGCAGTATACACTGCACCCTATATATAGTCTTTTATCCCTCACTCCCTTCCTCTCTTCTCCACAAGTCCTCACAGTCCATTGTATCATTCTTATGCCTTTGCATCCTCACAGCTTAGCTCTTACATATCAGTGAGAACATATAATAGCTGGTTTTACATTCCTGAGTTACTTCACTTAGAATAAATAATAGTCTCCACTGTCATCCAGGTCACTGCAAATGCTGTTAATTCATTCTTTTATGGCTGAATAGTTTTCCATTGTATATATGGAATACTTTGCCATGTTGCAAGGCTGGTCATGAACTCCTAGCCTCAAGTGATCTGCCTACCTTGACCTTCCAAAGTGATAGGATTACAGGTGTGAGCCTGGTGTGTGGGTGTGTGTGTATATACACACATACGTGTGTGTGTGTGTGTGTGTGTGTGTGTGTGTGTGTATATACCTCACAGTTTCTTTATCCACTCCAAACTTGTTGATTGATGGGCATTTGGATTTTTTCCATGATTTTACAATTGTGAATTGTGCCACTGTAAACATGAGTATGCAAGTAACTTTTTTGAATAATGACTTATTTTCCTCTGGGTAGGTACCCAGTTGTGGGATTGATGGATCAAATGGTAGTTCCTTTAGTTAAGGAATCTTCACCCTATTTTCCGTAGTGGATGTACTAGTTTACATTCCCACCAGCAGTGTAAAGGTGTTCCCTGTTTACTGCATCCATGCCAACATCTACCGTTTTTTGATTTTTGATTATGGCTATGCTTGTGGGAGTATGGTGGTATTGCATTATGGTTTTGATTTCCATTTCCCCGATCATTAGTTATGTTGAGCATTTTTTCTTTTTTTTTATACTTTAAGTTCTGGAGTACATGTGCAGAATGTGCAGGTTTGTTACATAGGTATACAAGTGCAATGATGGTTTGCTGCACCCATCAACCGGTCATCCACATTAGGTATTTGTTCTTGCAGTCGATCTGGAACTAAAATTTACAGTGCAAGCTTCCCCACATGACACTGTCTGGAGCTGCAGTCTATCCTGCCTCCCTTCCACCCTGATGATCCAATATCAATTTTTCATTTTATATAGGTACAATTTGTGCCATCCCAAAATAATTACCATAGTAACATTAAAAATCAATGATCACATATCACCATAACAGATATAATAAACAGTTTGAAGTACTGTGAGAATTACAAGTGTGACATTGAGACACGCAGTGGACCCATGTTGTTGGCAAAATGATGCAAATAGGCTTACTTGATGAAGATTTGCCACAAAATTTCTGCAAAAAATGCAATATCTGAAAAGCAATGAAATGCAAAGTACAATAAAATGAGAAGTGCCTGTATTTGTGTATCTAAACATTGAAAAGATACTATAAAGATGTGCTATGACTGAGCCCTAACCAGGTGTGCAGTTTTTTCTTCCTTCCTGGGCACCTCGCCACCCACCTGAGCCCACAGTGCAGCCTGTTTGGCTCTCATGTTTAGAGCTCAAGCCTGGGACAATGGTGTGCATTCCTCATATCATCATTCCACTTCTGGTCTGGATCTATAAAAAAATCCCTGGATCCATCCATATACCCTCTGATTTACCATTTTTTAATTCATATGTGGCCTAGAAAAACTAACACAAAGACCCAGTGTTAGAAATAAAGGCAAAGTAGACTGCAAGGGTACAAACATGAATGGATTACCAACAAAAGTATCAACAGAAATCTCTGATAAGAAGACTAAAGAACTTCCCCAAAGGATCTCATTGTTTTAAAAATGGAGCTGATAATAGGAGCACTTTCTTTGTAGTTGTCTCTGACTTTTCTCTGTGAGACCAGAATTCAGTTTAGATATTTATCTGATACTAATCAGGATATACATGGTGCCTATATTTAAAATGTACTTAGCTGTATTTAATCATTTCGTTTGAGTTCCTTTTTCATTAACATAGCTTTCATTTCTATTATTTTTGTTTTAATATGATTAAATAAAAAGTTTATGCTAGTAGACAGCTTTTACTAAATCAGTGCTTAAAAACCTTTCGCTCTCTGTAATTCATTCCTATGAATTTGACTGCTGTGTACTCTAATCTCTTTAAGATCTTCTCATTTGAGTGGAGTATAATTTTACTCTGAACAGTGCAGTGAGACTGTGCAGCAAAATGAAAAAGTTTTGGAAATGATGTGAAAAATAAAGATATAATTACTGTTCAATACAGCGGGGCAGCTTGCTTGCGAGAGTAGTAATTACTATTTATTGCTGCAAGGAAGATAAAAAAGGTAAGGAAATAGAGGAAACTTCTTTGAAAAATGAAACATCTTTTACATAACTGTCTTATGCAAATTCTAATCCATGTTGCATTCCTTTCTATTCCTACAATTGTATTAAACGGTTTAAAAACTATGTGGTTGGTAAGTTTAAAAATGGTACAACTGTATAAAGCACTTAAAGTAGATGGGGCTTGCAAGACTGGCAGTTGCTCTGGTGGGTCAGTGAGTGAGTGGTGCATGAAAGTGAAGACCTCGGACATTACTGTATACTACTTAGACTTTATAAACACTGTGCAATTAGACTACATTAAATTTACAAAAAAAGTGTTCTTTTTTCAATAATAAATTAACCTGAGCTTACAGAACGTCTTTATAAACTTTTAAATATTTTTAAACTTGTTGACTGTTTTGTTATAACAGGTTACAACACACATTGTAAAGCTGTAAAGAATGTGTTTCTAAAATTTTTAATTTTTGTGGATACTTAGTAAGTGTCCATATTTATGAGGTATGTGAGATATTTTGATGCAGGCATGCATTGCATAATAATGACATCAGAATAAATGGGGGCATCCATTACCTCAGCACTTATCCTTTGTGTTATAAACAATCCAATTATACTCTTTTAGTTATTTTTAAATGTACAATTAAATTATTGTTGACTATGGTCACCCTGTTGTGCCGTCAAATAGTAGGTCTTAGCCATTCTTTCTATTTTTTGGTACCCAATAATCATTCCCCACCCCACCACCTCATTTTCCCTCTCCACACCACTACCCTTCTCAGCCTCTGGTAACCATTATTCTACTCTCTATCTTCATGAAATCTATTGTTTTAATTTTTAACTCCCACAAATAAGTGAGAATACACAAAGCCTGTCTTTTTGTACCTGGCTTATTTCACTTAACACAATGAACCGACCCCCGGTTCATCCATGTTGCAAAGACAAGATCTCATTCTTGTTTTTTTATGGCTAAATAGTACTTCATTGTGGATATTACCATTTTCTTGATCCATCCATCTGTTAATAGACATTTAGTTTGCTTCTAAATCTTGGCAGTTGTGAATAATGCTGCAGTAGATGTGGCAGTGCAGTTATCTCTTTGATATACTGATTTGCTTTCCTTTGGGTATATACCTAGCAGTAGGATTGCTGGATCATATGGTAGTTCTGTTTCAGCTTTTGGAGGACCTTCCAAACTGTTCTCCATAGTCATTGTACTAATGTACATTCTTACCAACAGTGTACAAGGGTTCCTTTTTCTCCATATCCTCAGCAGCATTTGTTATTGCATGGCTTTTGGATAAAAACCATTTTAACTGGGGTGAGATGATATCTCATTATAGTTTTGATTTGCATGTCTCTGATTATCATGACGTTGAGCACTTTTTCATATGCCTGTTTGCTATATATATGTCTTCTTTTGAGAAATGTCTATTCAGATCTTCTGCTGATTTTTAAATTGGATTATTAGATTTTTTTCCCTGTACAATTGTATATTCTGGTTATTACTCCGTTGTCTGATGGATAGTTTGCAAATATTGTCTCCCATTTTGTGGATTGGCTCTTCACTTTGTTGATTTGCTTTCTTTGCTGTGCAGAAGTTTTTGAACTTGATATTATCCAATTTGCCCATTTTTGCTTTGGTTGCCTGTGCTTGTGGGGTTTACTAAAGGAATCTTTTCCCAGTCCAGTGTTCTGGAGAGTCTCATCAATGTTTTCCTATAGTAGTTTCATAGTATGAGGTCTTATATTTGAGTCCTTAAACCATTTGGATTTGATGTTTGTATACAGCAAGAGATAGGGGCCTAGTTTTATTCACACACACACACTCCATGGAATACTACTCAGCCATAAAAAGAGACAACCTACAAAATGGGAGTCTTATCTGCTGTAGAGAAAGAGCTGAAATTGTGGAAAATCAGACACAAGCTCTTATCATGTGAGTGGCTAACCTACAACAAAAGGTTCATGCACAGACTCGCCAGGTGTCTATTGCTAAAGTGAGGGCATCGATTGGAAAAGAATGGGACCTTGCAACTTGGAATGATGATGTGTGGGAGGAATCTGATGAAGCTGGGGACACCGCACTTGTAAACTCTGATGAACCTTTTTCTCTTGCCAGAAGTAACAACTTCTGCCCCAGTGGTGGCTACATCCCCTCCCCAACCCATGTTACTATCAGCCGTTCTACCTTTGTCTCAGGAGATAAACCTGTGCTGCCTGAGGCAACAGTGATGCCTTCCTCTCAGGTAGTTTCCAGGCAAGATAATGTCAGTTCTCAGGATCTATCCCCAACACACCTGTTTGCTTCTAGACCTATAACTCACTAAAGTCTGGTGAGCCCCTAGAGGTGAGGTTCAGAGTACGTATGATCCATGAGGAGGTACACTACACTCGAAAAGAGCTGCTTGAGTTTTCTAATTTATATAAGCAGGAATCTTGAGAACAGTCACAGGGAGTGTGGAAATTAGTGCCACCATCAAGCATTTGAAAGACTCACGGGTGGTGATTCCTACCACATCTCCATTCAACTCCCCCATTTGACCTGTGCAGAAGATAGATGGATCTTGCAGATTTATAGTGGATTATCATAAGCTTAACCAAGTGATTATTCCAGTTGCAACTACTGTACCAGATGTGGTTTCATTGCTTGAGCGAATAAACACATCTTGTACCTAGTATGCAGCCATTGATTTGGCAAATACCTTTTTCTCCATTCCTGTCCATAAGGCCCACCTGAAGTAATTTGCCTTCAGCTGGCAAGGCCAGCAGTATACCTTTACTGTCCTACTTCAGAGATGTATAAACCCTCTGGTTTTGTGTCATAATCTTATTTGAAGAGAACTTGATCACTTTTGCTTCCACAAGCTATCACACTGGTCTATTACATTGATGACATTATGTTGATTGGATACAGTGAGCAAGCAGTAGCAAACACACTGGACTTATTGGTGATACATTTGTGTGCCAGAGGATGGGAAATAAATCTGACTAAAATTCAGGGACCTTCTACCTCAGTGTAATTTCTAGGGGTCCAGTGGTTTGGGGCCTATTGAGATATTCCTTCTACAGTAAATGATAAGTTGCTGCATTTGGCCCCTCCTACAACAAAGAAAGGCAATATGCCTATCTAGTGGGCTTACTTAGATTTTGGAGGCAACACGTTCCTCATTTGGATGTGTTACTCCTGTCCATTTATCAAGTGACCTGACAGGCTGCCAGTTTTGAGTGGGGTCCAGACTGGGAGAAGGCTCTGGAACAGGTCCAGGCTGTTATGCTAGCTGCTCTGCCACTTGAGCCATAAGACCTACAAGATCCAATGGTACTTGGGGTGTCAGTGGCACATAGGGATGCTGTTTGGAGCCTTTGGCAGACCCCCATAGGTGAATCACAGCAGAGGCCTCTGGGATTTTGGAGCAAGGTCCTGCCATCTTCTGCAGATAAACACTCTCTTTTGAGAGACAGCTCTTGGCCTGTTACTGGTCTTTGGCGGAAACTGAATGTTTGACTATGGGCATCATGTCATCATGCAACCTGAACTGCCTATCATGAATGGTGTGCTTTCTAACCCATAAAGTGGGTCATGCACAGAAGCATACCATCATCAAATGGAAGTGGTATATACATGATCAGGCTCAAGCAGGTCCTGAAGGCACAAGTAAGTTACATTAGGAAGTGGCTCAAATGCCCATGGTCTCCACTCCTGCCACCTTGCCTTCTCTCTCCCGGCCTGCACCAATGGCTTCATTGGAGTTTCCTATGATCAGATGACAGAATAAGAGAAAACTAGGGCCTGGTTCACAGAGGGTTCTGCATGATAGGCAGGCACCACCTGAAAGTGGACAGCGGCAGCACTATAGCTCCTTTCTAGGACATCCCTGAAGGACTGTGGTGAAGGGAAATTTTTCCCATGGGCAGATCTTAGAGTAGTGAACCTGGTTGTGCACATTGCATGGAAGGAGAAATGATCAGATGTGCGATTATATACTGATTCATGGGCTGTAGCCAATAGTTTGGCTAAATGGTTAGGAACTTGGAATAAGCATGATTGGAAAATTGGTGACAAATGTGGGAAAGAGATATTTGGATGGACCTCTCTGGTGGTCAAAAAGTGTAAAGATGTTTGTATCCCATGTGAATGATCACAAAAGGGTGACCTCAGGAGAGGAGAATTTTAATAATCAAGTGGATAAGATGACCCATTCTGTGGACACCATACAGCCTCTTTCCTCAGCCTCCTCTGTCGTCACCCAATGGACCCATGAACAAAATGGCCATGATGGTAGGGATGGAGGTTAGGCTCAGCAACATGGACTTCCAGTTACCAAGACTGACTTGGCTACAGTCACTGCTGAGTGCCCAATTTGCCTGTGGCAAATTTCAACACTAAGCCCTCAATATGGTACCATTCCTTGGGATGATCAGTCTGCTACTTGGTTGCAGGTTGATTATGTTGGACCTCTTCCATCATGGAGAGGGCAGATGTTTGTCCTCACTGCAATAGACATTTACTCCAGATGTGGGTTTGCCTATCCTGCACACAGTGCTTCTGCCAGGACTACCATCTGTGGACTCACAAAATGCCTTATCCACTGTCATGGTATTCCACACAGCATTGCCTCTACCAAGGCACTCACTTTATGGCTAAAGAAGTGTAGCAGTGGGCTCTTGCTCATGGAATTCACTTGTCTTACCATGTTCCCCATCATCTTGAAAAAGCTGGTTCATAGAATGGTGGAATGGCCTGTTGAAGTTCCAATTACAATGCCAACTAGGTGACCATACTTTGTATTGCTGGGGCAGAGTTCTCCAGAATGTCGTGCATGCTCTGAATCAGCATCCAATATACAGTGCTGTTTCTCCCATAACCAGGATTCATAGGTCCAGGAATTAAGAGGTGGAAGTGGCACCACTCACCATCACCCCTAGTGACCCACTAGCAACATTTTTGCTTCTGTTTCTGTGACATTACATTCTGCTGGCCTAGAGGTCTTAGTTCCAGAGGGAGGAACACTGCCACCAGGAGACACAACAATTCCACTCAACCGGAAGTTAAGATTGCCAACTGGACACTTTGGGCTCGTCCTACCTTTAAGCCAACAGGCTAAGAAGGGAGTTACAGTGTTGGCTGGAATGGCTGACCCAGACTATCAAGATGAAATCAGTCTACTACTCCAAAAGGGCAGTAAGGAAGCGTATGTGTGGAATAAAGGAGGTCCCTTGGTGTCTCTTAGTATTACTGTGCCTGTGATTAAGGTCAATGGGAAACTACAACAGCCCAATCCAGGCAGGACAATAAATGACCCAGACTCTTCAGGAATGAAGGTTTGGGTCACCCCACCAGGAACAACAAAAAAAAAGAAAACACAAACTGCTGAGGTGCTTGCTGAAAGCAAAAGGAATGCAGAATGGGTAGTAGAACAAAGTATTCATCACTACCAGCTAAGATCATGTCACCAGTTGCAGAAATGAGGATTGTAATTGTCTTGAGTATTTCCTCTTTCTTTTGTTAAAAACATGTTTGTAGATATATATACTTGTACTAAGAAACTATTTTCATTTTATTTTCTTTTTCCATTATCATGTGACATAAGATTTATTGACTTCAAATCAGCATTTAAGTATTGTTAATTTTATGTAATAGCATTTGGATTGGGGATTGGTGCATTTCTTGTATAAAGGATAGTTGCTCCATGTTAGGAATTATGACTTTATTATTGTCTTTATTTGAAGATTAAGTATGATCTCAGGAGGTGTGTATGGTTTCAAGTTGACAAAGTGTGGACTTGTTTAGTACTGAATGTCAACTTGACTGAAAGCTGCCAAGTATTGATCCTGTATCTGTAAGGGTGCTGTCAAAAGGGTTTAACATTTGAGTTAGTGGGCTAAAAACAACAGACCCACCCATAATCTGGGTGGGTACCATCTAATCAGCTGCCAGTGTGGCCAGAATAAAAAGCATGCTGAAGAAAGTGAAAAGGCTAGACTAGCTTAGCGTCCCAGCCTTCATCTTTCTCTTGTGCTGGATACTTCCTGCCCTCAAACATTGGACTCCAAGTTCTTCAGCTTTGGGATTTGGACTGACTTCCTTGATCCTCAGCTTGCAGATGACCTATTGTGGGACTTTGTGATCATGTGAGTTAATACTCCTTATTATAAACTCCCATATATACACATATATTTATATGGGAGTTTAATATATATTACAGCTGTGTAATAGGAGATCTATATATATATATATAGATCTCCTATTAGCTCTGTCCCTCTAGAGAAACCTGACTAATACATGGATACATTTCATTCTTCCACACGTGGCTTGCCAATTATCCCAGCACCATTGGTTGAATAAGGTATCCTTTCCCCACTTTTTGTTTATTTGATTTGTCAAAGATCAATTGAGTGTAAGTATTTGGCTTTATTTCTGGATTCTCTATTCTGTTCCATTGGTCTATGTGTCTATTTTTACATCAGTAATATGCTGTGCTGGTGACGATAACCTTGTAGTAAATTCTGAAGTCAGGTAATGTGATGCCTCCAGATTTGTTCTTTTTGCTTAGTCTTGCTTTGGCTATGTGGGCTCCTTTTTGGTTCCATATAAATTTTAGGATTTGTTTTTCTTTTAGTTCTGTGACATTACATTCTGCTGGCCTAGAGGTCTTAGTTCCAGAGGGAGGAACACTGCCACCAGGAGACACAACAACAATTCCACTCAACCGTAAGTTAAGATTGCCACCCGGACACTTTGGGCTCCTCCTACCTTTAAACCAACAGGCTAAGAAGGGAGTTACAGTGTTGGCTGGAATGGCTGACCCAGACTATCAAGATGAAATCAGTCTACTACTCCAAAAGGGCGGTAAGGAAGAGTATGTGTGGAATAAAGGAGGTCTCTTGGTGTCTCTTAGTATTACTGTGGTGACTCTTAGTATACTAAGAGATAAGTATATCTTTTACCATATACTGTGTATTTGATGGGAATCACATTGAATTTGCAGATTGCTTTTAACAGTATGGCTTTTTTCAAAATATTGTTTCTACCCATCAATGATCATGGGACATGTATATATGTATATACACACACATATTTGTGCAGCTGTGTAAAAGGGGTTGAATTTGTTGATTCTCAGCTTGTTCACTGTTGGTGGAGAGCAGTGCTACTCATTTATGTATATTAATTTTGTATTCTGAACCTTTATTAGTTCTAGGAGCTTTTGGGATGAGTCTTTAGGATTTTCTAGCTATATGTTCATATCATTGGCAAACATCACAGTTTGACTTTCTGTTTATCTATTTGGATGCCCTTTATTTCTTTCTCTTGTATGATTGCTCCGGCTAGGACTTCCAGTGCTATTTTAAATAGAAGTGGTAACAGCAGGCATTTTTGTCTTATTTCAGTCCTCAGGGGGAATGTTTTTAACTTTTTCCCATTCAGTATAATGTTGACTGTGGGTTTGTCATGCATGGCTTTTATTACCTTAAGGTATGTACCTTCTGTGCTGATTTTGCTGAAGGTTTTAATCATAAAGGATGCTCAATTATGTCAAATGCTTTTACTGTGTCTATTGAGATGATCATGTGATTTTTTAAAAAATTCCATTCATGTGGTGTATCACATTTATTAATTTGCATATGTTAAATCCATGCATCCTTGGCATGAAACCCACTTGATCATGTGGATTATCTTTTTGATATGTTGTTGAATTTGGTTAGCTAGTATTTTGTTGAGAATTTTGTGTCTATGTCCATCAGGCTATTAGTCTGTAGTTTTCATTCATTCATTCATTCTTCTTTTTTTTTTTTTTTTTTGTTGTTGTTGTTGTTCTTTCCTGGTTTTGATATTAGGGTGATACTGGCTTCATAGAATGATTTGGAGAGGATTTCCTTTTTCTTTATCCTTTGGAATAGTGTCAATAGGATTGGTACCAATTCTTCTTTGAACGTCTGATAGAATTCAGCTGTGAATGTGTCTGCCCTGGACTTTTTTTTGGTTGGCTTTTTAAAACAATTACCATTTCAATCTTGCTTCTTATTATCGGTCTGTTCAGAGTTTCTATTTTTTCCTGGTTTAATCTAGGAGGGTTATGTATTTCTAGAAATGTATCCATCTCCTCTAGGTTTTCTAGTTTGTGTAAAGGTATTCATAGTAGCCTTGAATGGTCTTTTGTATTTCTGTATTATTGGTTGTAATATCTCTCATCTTGTTTCTAATTGAGCTTATTTGGATCTTCTTTCTTCTTGACCTATCTTGCTAATGGTCTATCAATTTTCTTTTCCAAGAACCAGCTTGTTGTTTCATTTATCTTTTGTATTTTTTTGTTTCAATCTCATTTAGCTCTGCATTGATCTTTCTTATTTCTTTTCTTCTGCTGAGTTTGCTTTGTTCTTGTTTCTTTGTTCCTTAAGGTGTGAACTTAGGTCATCTTGTTGTGCTCTTTCAGACTTTTTGATGTGGCCTTTAGGCTATGAACTTTCCTCTTAGCCCTACTTTTGCTGTATCCCAGAGGTTTTTATAGGTTGTGTCACTATGATCATTCAGTTCAAATAATTTTTTAATTTCCATCTTGATTTTATTGTTGACCCAATTATCATTCAGAAGCAGATTATTTAATTTCCATGTATTTGTATAGTTTTGAGGGTTCCTTCTGGAGTTAATTTCCAATTTTATTCCACTGTGGTTTGAGAGAGTACTTGATATAATTTTGATTTTCTTGAAATTTATTGAGACTTTTTTGTGACCTACTATATAACTATGTCAGAGAATGTTCCATGTGGTGATGGATAGAATGTATATTCTGCAGTTGTTCAGTAGAATGTTCTGTAAATATCTGTTAAGCCCATTTGTTCTAGAATATAGTTTAAGTCAATTATTTCTTTGTCAACTTTGTCTTGATGACCTGTCTGATACTGTCTGTGGAGTATTGAAGTCCCCCACTATCATGTTGCCATCTATTTCATTTGTTAAGTCTGGTAGTAATTTCTTTATAAATTTGGAAACTCCAGTGTTAGGTACATATATTAGGATTGTGATATTTTCCTGTGAACTATTTCTTTCATCATTATATAATCTCCCTGTTTGTCTTTTTTAACTGTTGTTGCTTTAAAGTCTGTTTTGTCTGATATAAGAATAGCTACTCCTGCTTGCTTTTGGTGTCCATTTGCATGAAATATCTTTTTCCATTTCTTTGCTGTACATTTATTTGAGTCCTTATGTGTTAGGTGAGTTTCTTAAAGACAGCAGATGCTTGGTTGGTGGATTTATATCCATTCTGCCATCTGTATCTTTTAACTGGAGAATTTAGGCTATTTACATCCAATGTTAGTTTTGAGACATTAGATACTGTTATTTATCCTGCTAGTTGTTGCTGGAATATCTTTCTCTTTTAAATTGTGTTATAGTTTTGTAGGTCTTGTGAGAGTCATGCTTTAATGAGGTCTATTTGGTGTATTTTAGGTCTTATTTCAAGATTTACAACTCCATTAAGCATTTCTTAAAGTACTGGCTTGGTAGTAGCATATTCTTTCTGTTTTTGTATGTCTGAAAAAGACTATCTTTCCTTCATTTATGAAGCTTTATTTCACTGGATACAAATTTCTTGACTGATAATTATTTTGTTTAAGGAGGCTAAAGATAGGATCCCAATCCCTTCTGGCTCATAGAGTTTCTGCTGAGAAATTTGCTGTTAATCTAATAGGTTTTTCTTCTTAGGTTATCTGATCTTTTTGCCTTACAGCTGTTAAAGTTTTTCCTCTGTCTTGACTTTAGATAACCTGAAAATGATGTGCCTAGATGATCATCTTTTTGTGATGAATTTTGTAGGTTTTTTTGAGCTTCTTGTATTTTGACTATTTCTAGCAAGACCAGGAAAGCTTTCCTTGATTATTTCCTTTAATAAGTTTTCTAACCTTTTAGATATTTCTCTTCTTTCTCAGGGACATCTATTATTCTTATGTTTGGTTGTTTAACATAATCTCAAATTTCTTGGAGGCTTTGTTCATTTTTAAAATTATTTTTTTTTGCCAGATTGGATTTATTTGAAAGCCTTGTCTTCATACTCGGAAGCTCTTTCTCCTACTTGTTCTAGCCTATTGTTGAAACTTTCTAATGTATTCTGTATTTCTCTAAGTGTGTCTTTAATTTCCAGAAGTTATGGGGTTTTTTTTTTTGTTGTTGTTTGCTTTTCCTTTATGGTATCTATTTCTCTGGAGAGTTTTTTATTTATATTCTATATTTTTAAAAAATGTCTTTTAAGTTGATTTTTAACTTTCTCTGGTACCTCCTTAGTAGTTTTATAATCAACCTTCTGAATTCTTTATCTGGCAATTCAGAAATTCACTCTTGGTTTGGATCCATTGCTGGAGAGCTAGTGTGATCTTTTGGAGGGTGTTATGGAACTTTGTTTCTTCATATTATCAGAATTACTTTTATGATTCCTCCCATTGGGGTAGACTGTTGCAGTGAAAAGATCTGGAACTCAAAGGCTTCTGTGTAGATTCCTTCGTCCCATGAGTTGATCCTTTGATGTAGTGCTCTCCCCTGCCCCCAGGGAGGGGGCTTCCTGAGAGTCAGACTGCAGTGATTGTTATTGCTCTTCTGACTCTAGCAACCCATTGGGGCCACTGGCTCTGGGCTAGTGCTGGGGAATGTCTGCAAAGAGTCCTGTGATGTGATCTGTCTTCAGGTCTCCCAGACATCGACACAAGCACCTGCTCAGCTGGAGGTGGCAGGGAAGTGAAATGGAATCTGTGGGAGTCCTTGGTTGTAGATTTGTTTAGTGTGCTAGTTTTCTCAAATGCTGGGTATGCTAGCAGTAAAATTCTTACATGAACAGTCCAGGACCTCTGGTAAGGATGTTGTAGGTGCTGAAATTAGCCATTGTTTTCTCCTTATTTGAAACAGGGTTGTTTTGTTATAAACAATGATTCAGGCAAATAGTTTTCATAGATAGATAGATAATGTCTCTTTGGCTTCTGTATCAGGCTTGTTGGTGCTGACTTTGTAGAATAAGTTTGGAAGTAGTCCCTTCTGTTGCATTTTTTAGAATAATTTGATTAGGTCTGTTATTTTTCTTTAATCACTTGGTAAAATTCATCAGTGAAGCCATTAGTTTCTAGGCTTCTCTTTGATGGGAGAGTTTTTCTTAGGCTTTAATCATGTTACTTGCTGTTGGTTTGTTCAGGCTTTTTATATTTTCATGGTTCAATCTTGGTAAGTCATATGTGTTTAGAAATTTCTTCTAGGTTTTCTAATTTATTGTCATATAATTGCTCATAGTAGTCCCTAATAATCCTCTGAATTTCTGTGATATAAGTTGTAATGTCTCCCTTTTTTTTTTTTTCCTCTGATTTTATTTATTTGGGTTTTCTGTCTTCTTATTCTGGCTAAAGACTTGTCAATTTTGTTGATCTTTTCAAAAAGCAGCTATTTTGTTCATTGAACCTTTTTGTTTCCTGTATTTCAACTATATTCATTTCTGCTCTGAAATTTTTATTTTATTTCCTTTTTTCTACTAATTTTGGGTTTGCTTGCTCTTGCTCTTCTTGTTCTTGAAGATGCATGTTAGGTTGTTAATTTGAAATTTTTCTACTTTTTTGATGTAGGCACTTACAGCCGTAAACTTCCCCCTGAATACTTCTTTCACTGTGTCTGATTTTGGTATGTTTTGCTTTCATCATCATTTATTTCAATAAACTTTTCAATTTTCATCTTAATTTCTTAAT